AAAGTCCCAATTTTACAATAATTATATATATATAGTCAAAGTACTATAATTTTGTCTATATATATATAGACAAAATTATAGTCATACAACCCTATCTCATCGACATGTCTTCACATTCTGACTGGGAGCTATTTAAATTTTATCTTTTAATCAGGACATGTTTTCATACCTGTTTGTATAGTTTCTGTGAGATAATTACAGGTAAGTGTTTATTATTGCATGTAAATGAGGTGCCCCATACAGGTGATCTTATCACCAAGGTTTCTTCAGGCTGTTTATTAAGGTCCTGTGGCCACAGTCTGCTTGTTACTCACAGCTTAAACACTCCCATATCTCATACTAACCAGGGTCAGAGTTGTAATCTGTATCCTGGGAGAGGGCATGCTGTTTAATAGATGTAGTGAAGATATGATTGTATTTATTGTTGCCATATTTCATATGATATATTTTGATGAATATTGTTATATATGTGTTTCTATAAAGAATCAAATATATTCTCTTAACTGTATATATGTTCTGTGGGGTTGATTATAAGTAACCAGGAAGTCCTTCCATGGTGTGTCCTGTAATAGTTCAAGGTCAGGTCTGCAATTTATAAACTTAATGTGAAAATGTTTCTTGATCAATGCATTGAACATGGAGTATAACATCAATGTATAAGCCTAGAGTTTGACATGTCTCAAATTATTCAACATTAAAGTATTAGGTTGAGCCTACCAGATAATCTTGCTCCTTCATACTGTTGTATCACAGCAACACACACTGTAGTCACAGTTACACATCACAACACATACTGTAGTCACAGTTACACATCACAACACATACTGTAGTCACAGTGTTTACACATCACAACACATACAGTAGTAACAGTGTTTACACATCACAACACACTGTAGTCACAGTGTTTACACATCACAACACACACTGTAGTCACAGTGTTTACACATCACAACACACACTGTAGTCACAGTGTTTACACATCACAACACCACACAATGTAGTCACAGTGTTTACACATCACAACACATACTGTAGTCACAGTGTTTACACATCACAACACATACTTTAGTCACAGTTACACCTCACAACACCACACACTTTAGTAACAGTTACACCTCACAACACCTCACACTGTAGTCACAGTGTTTGCACATCACAACACATACTGTAGACACAGTGTTTACACATCACAACACATACTGTAGTCACAGTGTTTACACATCACAACACACACTGTAGTCACAGTGTTTACACATCACAACACCACACACTGTAGTCACAGTGTTTACACATCACAACACACACTGTAGTCACAGTGTTTACACATCACAACACATCCTGTAGTCTCAGTGTTTACACATCACAACACACACTGTAGTCACAGTGTTTACACATCACAACACACACTGTAGTCACAGTGTTTACACATCACAACACACTGTAGTCACAGTGTTTACACATCACAACACACACTGTAGTCACAGTTACACCTCACAACACCAAACACTTTAGTCACAGTTTACACATCACAACACTTACTGTAGTCACAGTGTTTACACATCACAACACATACTGTAGTCACAGTGTTTACACATCACAACACACACTGTAGTCACAGTGTTTACACATCACAACACCACACACTGTAGTCACAGTGTTTACACATCACAACCCACACTGTAGTCACAGTGTTTACACATCACAACACATCCTGTAGTCTCAGTGTTTACACATCACAACACACACTGTAGTCACAGTGTTTACACATCACAACACACACTGTAGTCACAGTGTTTACACATCACAACACCACACACTGTAGTCACAGTGTTTACACATCACAACACATACTGTAGTCACAGTGTTTACACATCACAACACACACTGTAGTCACAGTGTTTACACATCACAACACACTGTAGTCACAGTGTTTACACATCACAACACACACTGTAGTCACAGTGTTTACACATCACAACACATACTGTAGTCACAGTGTTTACACATCACAACACACACTGTAGTCACAGTGTTTACACATCACAACACACACTGTAGTCACAGTGTTTACACATCACAACACACTGTAGTCACAGTGTTTACACATCACAACACATCCTGTACTCAGTGTTTACACATCACAACACCACACACTGTAGTCACAGTGTTTACACATCACAACACACACGGTATCCACAGTGTTTACACATCACAACACATACTGTAGACACAGTGTTACAGTGTTTACATCACAACACCACACACTGTTAGTCACATCACACAACACACACTGTAGTCACAGTGTTTACACATCACAACACATACTTTAGTCACAGTTACACCTCACAACACCACACACTGTAGTCACAGTGTTTACACATCACAACACACACTGTAGTCACAGTGTTTACACATCACAACACATACTGTAGTCACAGTGTTTACACATCACAACACATACTGTAGTCACAGTGTTTACACATCACAACACACACTGTAGTCACAGTGTTTACACATCACAACACATACTGTAGTCACAGTGTTTACACATCACAACACATACTGTAGTCACAGTGTTTACACATCACAACACATACTGTAGTCACAGTGTTTACACATCACAACACAGACTGTAGTCACAGTATTTACACATCACAACACACACTGTAGTCACAGTGTTTACACATCACAATACACACTGTAGTCACAGTAGTCAAAGTGTTTACACATCACAACACATACTGTAGTCACATTGTTTACACATCACAACACACACTGTAGTCACAGTGTTAGCACATCACAACACACCCTGTAGTCACAGTGTTTGCACATCACACATCACAACACACACTGTAGTCACACACAACACACACTTAGTCACACATCACAACACACACTGTAGTCACAGTGTTTACACATCACAACACATACTGTAGTCACAGTGTTTACACATCACAACACACACTGTAGTCACAGTGTTTACACATCACAACACACACTGTAGTCACAGTGTTTACACATCACAACACACACTGTAGTCACAGTGTTTACACATCACAACACATACTGTAGTCACAGTGTTTACACATCACAACACACACTGTAGTCACAGTGTTTACACATCACAACACCACACACTGTAGTCACAGTGTTTACACATTACAGCACATCCTGTAGTAAGTGTTTACACATCACAACACACTGTAGTCACAGTGTTTACACATCACAACACATACTGTAGTCACAGTGTTTACACATCACAACACACACTGTAGTCACAGTGTTTACACATCACAACACATACTGTAGTCACAGTGTTTACACATCACAATACATACTGTAGTCACAGTGTTTACACATCACAACACACACTGTAGTCACAGTGTTTACACATCACAACACATACTGTAGTCACAGTGTTTACACATCACACAGTGTTTGCACATCACAACACATACTGGAGACACAGTGTTTACACATCATAACACACACTGTAGTCACAGTGTTTACACATCACAACACATACTTTAGTCACAGTTACACCTCACAACACCACACACTTTTACACATCACAACACAGTTACAACACACACACAACACACTGTAGTCACAGTGTTTGCACATCACAACACATACTGTAGACACAGTGTTTACACATCACAACACATACTGTAGTACAGTTACATCTCACAACACCTCACAATGTTAACACAGTGTTTACCTATCACAACACATACTGTAGACACTGTGTTAACACATCACAACACCACACACTGTAGTCACAGTTTTTACATATCACAACACACACTGCTAACACAGTGTTTATACATCACAACACATACTGTAGTCACAGTGTTTACACATCACAACACATACTGTAGTCACAGTGTTTACACATCACAACACATACTGTAGTCACAGTGTTTACACATCACAACACATACTTTAGTCACAGTTGTACCTCACAACACCACACTGTAGTCACAGTGTTTACACATCACAACAGATACTGTAGACGCAGTGTTTACACATCACAACACATACTGTAGTCACAGTGTTTACACATCACAACACACTTTAGTCACAGTTTACACATCACAACACACACTGTAGTCACAGTGTTTACACATCAGAACACACACTGTGTTCACAGTGTTTACACATCACAACACACACTGTAGTCACAGTGTTTACACATCACAACACATACTGTAGACACAGTGTTTACACATCACAACACATACTGTAGTCACAGTGTTTACACATCACAACACATACTGTAGTCACAGTGTTTACACATCACAACACACACTGTAGTCACAGTGTTTACATATCACAAGATATACTGTAGTCACAGTGTTTATACATCACAACACATACTGTAGTCACAGTGTTTACACATCACAACACATACTGTAGTCACAGTGTTTACACATCACAACACATTATTGTGAAGTCATTTTTCCATGTTTTTAATGTTGAATGTTTATTGCTGTGGTCTATATAACTGTATTATGCTAACAATAAAGTGTATTTTCATCTTTAGGAATATTTGGAATTTGTTTTTTTTTCCATTTTTTTTAAAATAATTACAGTGATGGAAAAAATCTATGATTTTTTTTATTGGTATTCCTCCATAAAATACAAAAGTGTAATCTACCTGTTGTGCTAGAATAAGAAAAAAGTCTGTTTGGCTGTATACAATTTTGGTATTTTGATAAAATGAATATGGTCCTGTTTCATATTCTTTTGCTACACTTTTAACAAGGTGTTTTTTTTTTTATTGATTCGATTTGTGTCAAGTGAATCAGAAGTAGCTTGTGTTGATTAGAATGTTTTCCTCCTATACCAATACATGTACCAAAGGCCATTTATAACAAACAGGAAAAGCAAATACACAATACTTGAAAATTTAGGATAATTAGCAGAATGAATTCAGTTAAAACCGATTCCTGGTGTTTAATACAAAACATTAAGTTTTACATTGTCATGTGTTTCAGAAAGAACTGCGTGATGAAAAACGTTTGAGAGAGAGATGCCTTCGAAAACAGGGAGATGTGGAGCACATGAACAAACTAAGAAAGAAGTTTGTAAAACGGGCAAAGAAATACTTTGGAATTCCTTATGCTCGAAAGTACTGGAAGCCAGATCGTAAGTGTGCCTTAATTTGTGGACAACTGATAACATAATATCAGTCTATCAACCACGTATACACAATGGCTGAAAATGTTGCCATATAGAATAAAACAATTTCATTATAAAGTTTGCAGATATCGATTTCTGTTCATTGTGGTTTTTTTAACAATCATGTGTTACTATTTTCTGTTCATTGTGTTTTTTTAACAATCATGTGTTGCTATTTTGCATATGTGTATGGAACACGTTAGTTTGTTTATCACAGTTGTCCCCCTTTATGTAAATCAGAATGATGGTAGTGCAGTACTGTTTATTTCGTATCTTTTTCCAAATTTCATAATTTGGTTTGGCATCTCGATGTTAACATCTGTATTTACTCATGCAGAACCTGAGTACAAGAGTCATCTATTTCTGGATTGCTGTGGTCTTGTACGACAAGTAATGCGAGATCTACGTAAGGACTTCGGGTTCCGCCTTGGGCCATGGAACCAGGCATATATGTTTGATTTACTTCCAATTGTAGTGGAGCGAGAGGAAGACATGAAACCTGGTGACCTTGTGTTTATATCGGGAACATATCCACGCCCTAATGGTAAGTATGGAGAAAAACAATAGGATTAGTACTTATAGTATGTTCAAATAAATGGCCTTGAGATGTCTTCAAGGTCGTTTGTCATATCTATCAAATAATTTCTTTTCATTAACTAAGAAAACTAGAGTAATGGTATTTGACCAGTGGCAAAATGAGATTAAGGGTTACCAACCTTGTTTAAATGAATGACTTTGACCTGCTTTCAAGGTCACAAGTCATATACAAAAAATGTATATCAAAATATTTAAGCAACATATTTTCTTAATAACCTATTATCCTTTGAAGAAAGATGCTTTGTTAAGAGGTCATTAAAGCTCATTTTTGGGCACTTCTTGTATAAAGCTTTGTCGTTAATATGCTTCAGCTCGCCAACAGAAGCACTTGATGACGCATGTAGAAATCTGGGCAGGAGATGGAAACAAAACAATCGGGGCCCGTTGGAACAATGGCAAGGTCCAGGTCTGGGATGACTACAGATTTGAAGCCAAAAGTTTTGTAGATGCCAAGTATCACTTTCGATCGTTGGACACCTGGCTACAAGGAATTTGTCGCAGGTCAGTTTCAATATTCTTAATGTGTAAAATCTCTTAGAGCTTATATACCATATATATATTCATCTGGAATATGTTACCTTCAGAGTTGTATTAATTTAAGTGATTTTCATGCTGAATGTAGTGTGCTAAATTGAGATTTCTTCAGAAGTACAACAAAGGAAAGAGGAAGGGATATCACTCTGTCTTTGTCATTATGACTCATGGGACAGTACGGAGGACAGAGTTTTTTTTATCTTTTGTTTTTGGGCTACAAAGATGGGTGCAAGTACTGTATTTGCATATTAGATTTATGGTGATTATTACTGAAATGACAAAATGATTTCCCTAATTGCAATATCTGATTGTTATTAATATAACAAATTATCATCATTACACTAACTTTCCAATTAAGGGATTGAATGCTAAAATTGATTGTGCCAAGTTAAGGATGTGTACTCCTCTGATGTATAACAGAAAGTGGGACTTTCTTCAATACAAAAAGGATTCCAATGTAATATCTTGATATTGTGTATTTTTGTATACTTTCTTATCTATGGTTGTACTTATAAGCTGAGAAAAGGTGTTTTAATTGATATTTAGAAGAAATTTTGCTTTTTGACAACATTTTTTCAAGGTGTGATTTGGTAAATAGAGTCCACAGTTTCCATGTTTTCTTGTTGTAAAGGTAGTTCACTCAAGTATCGCAACAAACACAGGATCTAAATTTGTTTATTCCTAGAGAACTTTTCCTGAAAATAAAGCACAGGTCATCATGACCCTTCAGATGACCTATAGCTATTGTGCTTCGTTTGTCGTCATACGCCGTGTGCCGTTCGTAAACTTTTGACATTTCAAACTTCTCAAGTTCCAGTAATGGGATTGAGCTCAAACTTATATGAAGTTATCCTGAGATGGTCCTGACAAAGTGTTGTTATTTTTTGGGTGTGTTTGAAGTCCAAGATGGCCACCATCTTGAAACAGATATTTTAAACTTCTTGTCCAGTTCCACTGGTGCCATTGAGCTAAACATTGGTGTGAATGTTAAAGAAAGGTAGTCAACAGAGTGTTGTTATTTTTTGACCTTGTCAGAACTTTGATACGGTAACAAGTTGGAACTCAATCCCACCAGTGAAACTTGAGAATTTTGACGTAGGTATTGCACAGGAACACGATAATTGTGCAATCACGTTACAATAACATGTATCTATTATTTTTTTAACTTGTCAAGACTTTGAAACAGCAGTCAAGGAGGCCATTTTGTAACATGGTTGAGCAACCATGGTTTTCTTGTGCAACACCTACCGTAAAAACCCACGTAATGTCCGCATCTGTGTAATGTCCGCACCCCTTTTTTGACACAAAAATCTGGGGAAAAAACCCACCTTCCATGTAATGTCCGCGGGTAAAAAATGCAAATTGAAGCTGCCGATTTCATTTCACGTACGCTAATGTCGTAATGGCCGAGAGCATGTCGCATTGTGTATAACTTACAGGTACCATTCAAGAATTCACTTAATTGTTTATACCAACAGTTATTCTCCATAATGGTACAGTAAGCGTATTTCAAACTTCTTCTCATGTTTCATCAATGGTATTGAGCTCAGACTTGCATGAAAGGATCCTGAGATGGTCCTGACCAAGTGTTGTTATTTTCGGGTATGTCTGAAATCCAAGATGGCTACATGGCTGCCATCTTGAAACAGATATTTTAAACTTCTTTTCCAGTTCCACTAGTGCTATTGAGCTAAAAATGGGCGGGAATATTAAGAAAAGGTAGCCAACAAAATGTTGTTGTTTTTTCACTTTACCATTTTGTAACATGCTTGTGCAATCATGGCTTTCTTGTGCAATAACTGTTTTAAACTTCTTCTCAAGTTTCACCAGTAGGATTTAGCTCCAACTTTACTGTCAAAAAATAGGTAACACTTGTTACAGTAACCTTTCCTCACCAAAACAGCTTCTTAGGAAGATTTCATTTAAAGTAGAAAAGATAACCCTTCTCCTAGCTGAAAGTTTTCGTAGTCAGATGACCATTTTGGCCCATAGGCTTCTTGTTTAGTTGTGTAAAAATGTTTAGCTCACCTGGCCGGAGGGCTCCTGTAGAAAATCTATCAATTTCTTTGAAATCTATCATATTTTTTAGCCCACCATCTATTCAAATCACCCTGCGTCTGTGGTCCGTCATCCGTCCGTCCGTAATCAATTCTTGTTACGGCTATTTCTGAAAAAGTACTGAATGGATCTTTCCCAAATTTCATATGCAGGTTCCCCTTGGTCCCTAGTTGTGCATTGTACCTTGTTTGAACTGATTCGAATTCAAGATGGCTGACAGGTGGCCATCTTGGATTTTGGATGTAAAAGTTTGTTACCGCTATTTCTGGAAAAGTACTGGATGGATCTTTCTCAAATTTCATATGCAGGTTCACCTTGGTCCCTAGTTGTGCATTGTACCTTTTTTGGACTGATTCGAATTCAAGACGGCCGACAGGTGGCCATCTTGGATTTTGGAAGTAAAAGTTTGTTACCGCTAATTCTTTGAAATTACTGGATGGATCTTTCTCAAATTTCATATGCTGTTTCCCCTTGTTCCTAGTTGTGCATTGTACCTTTTTTGGACTGATTCGAATTCAAGATGGCCGACAGGTGGCCATCTTGGATTTTGAATGTAAAAGTTTGTTACTGCTATTTCTTGGAAAGTACTGGATGGATCTTCCTCAAATTTCATATGCAGTTTCCCCTTGGTCCCTAGTTGTGCATTATACCTTTTTTGGACTGATTCGAATTCAAGATGGCCGACAGAAGGCCATCTTGGATTTTAGATGTAAAAGTTTGTTACCGCTATTTCTGAGAAAGTACTGGATGGATCTTTCTCAAATTTCATATGCAGTTTCCCCTTGGTCCCTAGTTGTGCATTGTACCTTTTTTGTAGTGATTCAAATACAAGATGGGAGACAGGCAGCCATCTTGGAATTTGGAAGTAAAAGTGTTACTGCTATTTCTTGGAAAGTACAGGCAGCAGTTTCCCCTTAGTCCCTATCTTTTTTGGACTGGAATTTGGATTTTGGATGTAAAAGTTTGTTACCGCTATTTCTTGGAAAGTACTGGATGGATCTTTCTCAAATTTCATATGCAGTTTCCCCTTGGTCGCTAGTTGTGCATTGTACATTTTTTGGACTGATTCGAATTCAAGATGGCCGACAGGTGGCCATCTTGGATTTTGGATGTAAAAGTTTGTTACCGCTAATTCTTTGAAATTACTGGATGGATCTTTCTCAAATTTCATATGCTGTTTCCCCTTGTTCCTACTTGTGCATTGTACCTTTTTTGGACTGATTCGAATTCAAGATGGCCGACAGGTGGCCATCTTGGATTTTGAATGTAAAAGTTTGTTACTGCTATTTCTTGGAAAGTACTGGATGGATCTTCCTCAAATTTCATATGCAGTTTCCCCTTGGTCCCTAGTTGTGCATTATACCTTTTTTGGACTGATTCGAATTCAAGATGGCCGACAGAAGGCCATCTTGGATTTTAGATGTAAAAGTTTGTTACCGCTATTTCTTGGAAAGTACTGGATGGATCTTTCTCAAATTTCATGTGTGGTTTCCCCTTGGTCCCTAGTTGTGCATTATACCTTTTTTGGACTGATTCGAATTCAAGATGGCCGACAGGTGGCCATCTTGGATTTTGAATGTAAAAGTTTGTTACTGCTATTTCTTGGAAAGTACTGGATGGATCTTTCTCAAATTTCATATGCAGGTTCCCTTTGGTTCCAAGTTGTGCATTATACCTTTTTGGACTGATCCGAAATCAAGATGGCTGACAGGCAGCCATCTTGGATTTTGAGAGTAAAATCTTGTTACTGCTATATCTGAGGAAGTACTGGATAAATCCTTCTGATATTTCATAGATATTGGTTTCCCTTGGTCCCTAGTTGTGCATTGTACCTTTTTTGGACTGATTTGAAATCAAGATGGCCCAAAGGCAGCCATCTTGGATGTCGACAGTAATACAGCACAAGCATATTGCCCATTATCCACCTGTAACTAACTGCTATCTAATGATACTTTGGGATCTTTTTCAAATGATATTTGCTAATAGGTGCTTAATAAAAATATCTTGTGCCATCATTGAGTACATTCAATGAAGACCAGTTCCTGAACATTTACAACACCTGTAACAAACAAAAAAAATAAACAAATCTTCAAGAACTGAAAACAGATCCTCAAATGGTGGGCGCCAAGATCCCTCTGGGATCTCTTGTTTATTAATGAAGTCCTCTGATGTTTTGACCGAAAGTAAGACAAGAGACTGTAAGATCGCAATTAAGAATAATATGTGAAAAGGGATACTTTCCTATTGATTTTTTATTACTTTCTTAAATATAACGTTTCAAAAAATTGTTACCAGAACAAAAGTCAAAAGGGCTGAGACATGAATGTAACAGGATGAAAATATAAGGAAAAGGTTTAGTAAAGTCCTTATAGCTTTAAGGGTGATCTATATATGGATGTAAGTGTGTTTCTACCAAAATCAGCCGGTTTGGATTTCAAGTATTAAGTACCATTGATTCAATATGTGTATGAAGTCTCTGCTATCATAAGTGAAAAGTTACGTATCAGTTCTATCATTATTGTAATTTATGCATGTGTTTCTGTTTACATATTTAAATAACAGCATTACAATATAATTGTCAGGCATGAAGAGTCTCTTAATACTGGTGATGTTATGGCACAGTTAATTGATATTTTAGGAGGAAAGAGGGTGTCCTTTTGCCTGTAGAAGTCAACTTGATACTTGCCATAATTGATTTTAAACTTCAGTATGAAGCCCAATTTAAATGGAATGACCACCTCTCCAATATCACACAGAAACCTTTAGAATAGCATTGAATGTTAGAAATGATGTTTTGAACTTAATGATTAATAACATTTTATATATTTAGGCTGCACAAACTAGTACACATATAGTCTAGTGGTGATCACAAATATGATACATACTCATGTGCAGTCTGATGTCTTAAATAGTAAGTTTAATTAGCTAACTGACTTGAAGAACCAGATGATCAGCAAACACAGTCAATTCATTATGTCAGCTAATCAAACTACAATACAAGATTAGATTTCACCAAACTTAAATCTAAAGCATTTCTTTGGTAAAGAGGATATAGTTTTGTTTAAGCAAAGGCTTCGGCTCAAATCCTTCTTTTGTACAAATTGTAATGTGGGACGAGCCTCTGCCCAGCATATCTGGAAATCAACACAGAGAAATAACACAATGAACATATAATACAGTTTATTTACATAGAAAACACACAGAAAACTATCAATGTACTCGCACTCACAATCATACTCCATTCATACACCTTAGCAACATGTAAAGATAGCTAGTCTCTTCACTGACAGGAATGTCTCACAAATACAGAGCCACAGTGTGTAAATTTGTGGATGCAAGTACCTTAACCAAACCGACTCTTTAGTCCGATCATAGCGAACGACTCTTAGTTCCTTAGAAATAAGTGACATAACTCTCAGTTCCTAGCTCGCTGACGGCTTGGTAGTGATACACACGTATCGCGCATCTCTCCCCTCTGTGGAGCTGGTGGCTGGGATATCAACACTAAAAGGCAGTCTCCCGAAGAGCTACATGCCAGCCTGTTCTGGAGACAATCCCTCCTGCAGCTGTCAGTAACGTCAATCTGTCCTGTTACTGCATACGGAGGACCTGGCGCTCCAATAATGCTGACCTTCTGTATCCTTCTGTATCCTTTAGTGTTGTACCCGCCATGTGAAGCTTTAAAGAGAAATTAAACGAACAATAAGCACTCATCCATCCATTCTCGTTATAGTTACCATAACTAACTTATAATGTTTTTCCACAAATTACAATTAAGTGATAATCCATCATTTGCTACTAACATTCTATAAATTATATGTATGACAATACACAAGAACTACATTCTACGGTGTGTGATGAGATTCTATATTAAATTTCAACAAAAGTACGATATCGCTACATGAAACAAATAAGGCAACTCTGGCATTCCATAGATTTTTTTTACCTACGCGATCACTCGCCAGTTCAAGCGCGCACGACTACTGCTCATGGCTTCCATACATATTTCACTCAAACGTAACAGCAATTCTATGGGTAGTTAGCACTTATACCTCTAAATCATTAACATAATAGCCAATATACATGAACAATAAGAACTTCAACAACAAAAGGAGCAAATTCAGCGTTATATCCAGAAATTAAACCTGCATTTTACAATCCTGATAGCTACGCATGAATGAACACGCACCGATAATAGATAGCTTGACCTATGATAGGGACATGGAAAATATGGCCATAAATAACCACAGAAAACCGCATATTACTAAAGACAGAAAGAATACTTACCCCAGTGAGATGTCTGGGCTCCTTTTCATGCCATAAATGACGCCAATTTCCCATGAAATAGGCAAACAGGTGTCATACCTGGACAGGCGATACTTGCTGTTTACGCTTACTGCTCACACAGTCGCTCACGTGACCCACACAACACCACAATACCCAGGTAACATACAGATGTACGTGACACAAACAACAGTGTCAAATTTGGTATGAAGCATCCTTAGGTAAAGTAAATCTGTTTTGTATAATGTGTGATTCTGCTAAAACCAAGTGGATGATAAATTGACCTTTTTTGTTTTGGTATACAGATTGAGAGAATAATTAATGTTTTTCTTTGTTTTTCCAGCTTCTGTTCTGAACACAAATGGAGGCGCACATTCACTCCCAGCAAAAAATCCATATTTTCATTAGATGAGGATAAAAATAAGGAAAAGGATAAAAAGCCAGACAGAATCACAAAGACAAAACAAGATTCATTTGTACCAATGACAGCCAGTCCCCAGAGTAAGGATGAGGATTTAGAAGAACAACTGCTTGAGGAGGAAATGGAAGATGATGAGGAGGTGGAGCCTGCCTGTGACAGCGAGGAGGAGGATTTGGATAGCTCACCGTTAGATCCTAATTTTCTCATGTTGCCACACAATGTCTCCGGCAAAGTGAAATACAATGGCTCAAGTAAATGGTTTCCACAGCGACTATCACACCCATCTGACAACAATACCCCACTGAATGGCAGTGATGAGGAAAGTGAGGATGAAGAACTCAGCATAGACAGTAAAATGGCCAGTTTAAGCGTCAATGACATGACAATGACCAAGCTTGGCAGACTCAATCGTAGTCAAACAGACCTTGTATCAGGTAGAAGTATAGCTGAGTCACAGCGACTCCAGTCACACAGTGTGCAGGAGTTTCCTACTCGTTTTCCTGTTATTGTCAATGATGTGAACAAAGCAAAGCCTAGTTATAGGAATGGTTATGAACGAATTAAACATCTCTCAGACAGATGTCTAGCCTCACCTAGAAACTCTGTTCCTACCAAACAAGAAACTTCGTTTAAGACTAAGAAAAAGTCAATGGAGGAGAAACGAAGAATATTCAGTGGCTTGGAACAGTCCAGATCTGTACTTTTGATTGACAATGATTCAGATGAGGACATTTCTGACTTCAGCAAGGACACATACAAATCTATATCTGATGATAGCATTAATATAGCAGGAGAAAAAGATAGGAAATTGCCATCAGATGAAAAAGGAAATGTTTTTTCAGATGATCACTTCAAACTGCCATTAGGGGAACTTACCAAGCCACAGGAATTTCTCACATCATGCTGCGATGATTATGTCAAACTGCCGTTAGATGAAGTAATTGTTGGGCCAGTAACGTCACCTGATGACTTTGTACTAATAACAAAAAATGACTTTGATGAAACTGACATAAAAGAGACATTCAATGAAGACGATAAGATGGAGGAAGATGACATGTGTCAAGATGTTTGTTACAGACATGTGGTAGATGACAGCAATGAGAGTAGTGAGAATGAAGGTTTAGTTAACATAATACAGACAGAAGGATCAGCAAAGAGCCAGGAAGGAGGTTTGGTTAATAGTGTACAAACAGAACAATTTGTACAGCGCCAGGATGAAGAATTCATTGAAGATGAAGAGAAATCATCGCAAGGTGACCATGTTGTCACCAATTGACCTTATGACCCAAATGTCATGGGATTGTCATGTGATAAGGGGTCATTAGGTTAATTGACTTTGTTCTGTTGATGTTCTTGTTATGTTAACTTGTTTTCTTGTGTACTGCCTCCAGACTCTTCCTCAGATTTTAATCATGGCTTCACTGGGAATTGTTCCCTCATTCATTATCCATGAACTGAAGCTGAGTTAGATTCGTATAAATGTTTTACGTTGTAAATTAACAAAAACAGTATACCTACCATCTCATGTCACTAGTGTATACAAAGTAGATCAGTTAGAAAACTTTTTGTTATATATTTTTAATGATGCTAAAATTTGATTATCATTTTTTTAAGACATTTTCTTAAAATTAATAATTCAGTTTTGCAACATTAGGTAAACTGATTAGTTTATCAATGAAATCTGGGATTTGTTTGGAGGCTGGAGGAATCTTGTTTGCCAATTTTCATTCTATATCTGTTTAATGTTGGGATATATGCTATCCTTTTTAAAGTATTATGGCATGTTATTTTTTGATATGTTTGTTGTTACACTTTATTCTTTGATTTTAAAGGATTGTGTTGAAGACCATATTTACTATTTAAACCTGAATGATGTTTATTTATTGTTTGTCTGTGATGTTTATATTCTATGATAGCTATGATGACAACATAATCATTGACTTATTTCTGTACAATGCTTCTCTCCCATTGTAACATTCAATCTAATTGTCTTTTTTGTAAAATAAAGTGAGAATTTTTGTCTTTTTCTTTGGCTCCACAATATTGTCACATTTTGGGAGGTTACAGTCATATTAGAATCTTAGTATTTGTCAGTTTGTCTATTCTTCTTTCCATCTATCTATAGGACCATCTACCTATCTATAGGACCATGCATCTATCTATAGGACCATCCACCTATCTATAGGACCATCCATCTATCTAAAGGACCTTCTACCTATCTATAGGACCATGAATCTATCTATAGGACCATCCACCTATCTATAGGACCTATCTATAGGACCATCCACCTCTCTATAGGACCATCCATATATCTATAGGACTCTCTACCTATCTATAGGACCATGCATCTATCTATAGGACCATCCACATATCTATAGGACCATCCATCTATCTATAGGAACATCTACCTATCTATAGGACCATCTACCTAACTATAGGACCATCCATCTATCTATAGGACCATCTACCTATCTATAGGACCATCCACCTATCTTTAGGAACATCTACCTATCTATAGGACCATCCACCTATGTATAGGACCATCCACCTATCTATAGGACCTATCTATAGGACCATCCATCTATCTATAGGACCATCCATCTATCTAAAGGACCTTCTACCTATCTATAGGACCATGAATCTATCTATAGGACCATCCACCTATCTATAGGACCTATCTATAGGACCATCCACCTCTCTATAGGACCATCTACCTATCTATAGGACCATCCACCTATCTAAAGGACCATCCACCTATCTATAGGACCATCCACCTATGTATAGGACCATCCACCTATCTATAGGACCATCCACCTATCTATAGGACCATCCACCTATCTATAGGACCATCTACCTATCTATAGGACCATCCACCTATCTATAGGACCATCCACCTATCTATAGGACCTATCTATAGGAACTTCCATCTATCTATAGGACCATCCATCTATCTATAGGAACATCCACCTATCTATAGGACCATCCACCTATCTATAGGACCATCTACCTACCTATAGGACCATCCATCTATCTATAGGACCATCTACCTATCTATAGGACCATCCACCTATCTATAGGACCATCTACCTATCTATAGGACCATCCACCTATCTATAGGACCTGTCTATAGGACCTATCTATAGGACCATCCACCTATCTATAGGACCATCCACCTCTCTATAGGACCATCCAACTATCTATAGGACCATCCACCTATCTATAGGACCATCCACCTATCTATAGGACCATCCACCTATCTATAGGATCATCCACCTATCTATAGGACCATCCACTTATGTATAGGACCATCTACCTATCTATAGGATCATCCACCTATCTATAGGACCATCCACCTATCTATAGGACCTATCTATAGGAACATCCATCTATCTATAGGACCATCCATCTATCTATAGGACCATCCTCCTATCTATAGGAACATCTACCTATCTATAGGACCATCCACCTATGTATAGGACCATCCACCTATCTATAGGACCTATCTATAGGAACATCCATCTATCTATAGGACCATCCATCTATCTATAGGACCATTTACCTATCTATAGGACCATGCATCTATCTATAGGACCATCCACCTATCTATAGGACCTATCTATAGGACCATCCACCTATCTATAGGACCATCCATCTATCTATAGGACCATCCACCTATGTATAGGACCATCTACCTATCTATAGGACCATCCACCTATCTATAGGATCATCCACCTATCTATAGGACCATCCACCTATCTATAGGACCATCCAACTATCTATAGGACCATCCACCTATCTATAGGACCATCTACCTATCTATAGGACCATCCACCTATCTATAGGACCTGTCTATAGGACCTATCTATAGGACCATCCACCTATCTATAGGACCATCCAACTATCTATAGGACCATCCACCTAGGACCATCCACCTATCTATAGGACCTATCTATAGGAACATCCATCTATCTATAGGACCATATACCTATCTATAGGACCATCCTCCTATCTATAGGACCTGTCTATAGGACCTATCTATAGGATCATCCACCTATCTATAGGACCATCCACCTATGTATAGGACCATCTACCTATCTATAGGATCATCCACCTATCTATAGGACCATCCACCTATCTATAGGACCATCTACCTATCTATAGGACCATCCATCTATCTATAGGACCTATCGATAGAACCTATCTATAGGACCATCCACCTATGTATAGGACCACCCACCTATCTATAGGACCATCCATCTATCTTAAGGACCATCCATCTATCTATAGGACCATCTACCTATGTATAGGACCATCTACCTATCTCTAGGACCATCCACCTATCTATAGGACCTATCTATAGGACCATCCACCTATCTATAGGACCATTTACATATCTATAGGACCATCCACCTATGTATAGGACCATCTACCTATCTTTAGGACCATCCACCTATCTATAGGATCATCCACCTATCTATAGGACCATCCACCTATCTATAGGACCATCCATCTGTCTATAGGACCTATCTATAGGACCTATCTATAGGATCATCCACCTATCTATAGGACCATCCACCTATCTATAGGACCATCCACCTATTTATAGGACCATGCATATTTTGATGGAAGTTTGACTTTCATTTGATTTCTGTTCATTTTCTTTGATTAAACTTGGACTTACAAACCCAATTGAGGAGGAAAGGAAACACCAAAAATATCATTCAAAAATATTTATATTGAAAGTTCATATACATAATGATGTTAGATATGAACAAAGCCTGTTTTCTACTCTGTACCATGCTATTTTATAGGACTTGTATTTCTTCAGGATCTTGTTAAGGACAGTATTACACAGTGTTCAGATTATACAGGTAATTTGGTTGGAAAATAAACCCAACAAAATCTTACACTTTTAAAAGGTTTTTCACCAAAATGTTAAAACTTTTGATTGAATAAATTCTTAAATGTAGACTAGTAAAGTGACTTGCTCAAATGTGGTTTATTTTGGTAAATAACATGGGTAGTGTCTGTTAAATACTGGTCCTTACACAGCTATGTTTATACCATATATCACCTCATGTTCAAAGCATTTGATCTGTGTTGTTAAGGTGTGTAAATATACTTATAACCAGACTACACATACAGGTTCACATGTTCAAGTTTTACTATCAGTTCGTGCAGATATGCAAGGCACACATTTTTATGATGATATAAACCACTCAGTTTTTGATGATATTGTAAGCATGTCTGTGTTTGATTTCACACATTGAATAAGTATTACAGTGTTGTTGACAACATTTCTTCATCTGTGACCAAGTTTTGCCACTAACCTCTAATATCACAAGCCTTTAACCATATATATATTCTGGATTCTCATATATGTTTAATATGCATATTTTGTGCAATTGTACATCTCTACTTAAGAAATTTTGAAGCACAAGTTTGAAGAATTGTTCAGATTGAAAAGATATTTTGAAACCTTGTTTAAATAACATGTTAATCTGATCTGAGGTTGTAATAGACTATAGACACCATGGAAACATGTTGATCTGGTCTGAGGTTGTAATAGACTATAGACACCATGGAAACATATTGATCTGGTCTGAGGTTGTAATAGACTATAGACACCATGGAAACATGTTAATCTGGAGTTGTAATAGACTATAGACACCATGAAAACATGTTGATCTGAGGTTGTAATAAACTATAGAAACCATGGAAACATGTTGATCTGATCTGAGGTTGTAATAGACTATAGACACCATGGAAACATGTTGATCTGAGGTTGTAATAGACTATAGACACCATGGAAACATGTTGATCTAATCTGAGGTTGTAATAGACTATAGACACCATGGAAACATGTTGATCTGAGCTGAGGTTGTAATAGACTATAGACAATATGGAAACATGTTGATCTGGTCTGAGATTGTAATAGACTATAGACACCATGGAAACATGTTGATCTGATCTGAGGTTGTAATAGACTAAAGACACCATGGAAACATGTTGATCTGAGGTTGTAATAGACAAAAGACACCATGGAAACATGTTGATCTGAGCTGAGGTTGTAATAGACTATAGACACCATGGAAACATGTTGATCTGATCTGAGGTTGTAATAGACTATAGACACCATGGAAACATGTTGATCTGATCTGAGGTTGTAATAGACTATAGACACCATGGAAACATGTTGATCTGGAGTTGTAATAGACTATAGACACCATGGAAACATGTTGATCTGAGGTTGTAATAGACTATAGACACCATGGA